TGCAAGCCTCTCATAGTGTGCTAGCATGTGATGCATACTAGCACATTATGACATTAACTTGCAGTGGGAAAATTTTTCTTTTTTATTTTAAACTTTACTACTGCGAAACCTGAAGAAGGTTCTATGCAGTGAATTAGAGCTACAGTATGTTAGTTTCTGGGCAGACTCAGCAGACTCAGGGGAAGATTCCCATCTTCCCCTACTATACAAACTGATAGAGGAATACCTGCCTTAACCATTGTCTTCTATCCACTCCTTGCTATCCTCCCTGACTACCCCTAGAATGGAGTCACTGTATAGTAAATGGCATGCAGACCACCCGTCCCTGACAGAAGATGACTGGGAGGACTGCCTTTTGCAATATCTCCCTACTTTGATCTCTGCCAGAGATCGCTTTATACAATTGAAATGTATCCATAGAGTATACTTTATTCCTCAGCAACTGGCTGCAATTTATCCTGGCAGAACGGTGGTGTGTCTCCGCAGTGATATGGTCGAGGGCATGTTTATCCATATGTTCGAGGCTGCGTCCCTTTTGGCCTGGAGTATTGGACACTATCAACGCAGTTGGTAACCTGTCTGTTCATATGGACCCTCTGATACTGCTGTTGGGACTTTCTGATCTTGTGGAGGCACCTATGCATAGTAAGCTGTTTTTCTTCTTCTCCGCTTATTATGCTAGACAAGAAATTTTGTTGAGGTGGAAGTTATCAACCCCTCCCATGGTCTCTGGTTGGAAGGCAGCAATTAATAGTGCTCTTCCTTTCTAGAAGCTTACGCACATAAGCCACAACTGTCCAGCAAAATTTGATAAAATCTGGGCTGGGTGGGTGGAGGCACAGGGACTCATAGTATAGGTTGTGGTGTCTCCAGTTATTTATTTGAAGATTTTTGTAGCACCCAAACACTGTGTTGTTACCGGCACTGCCTAATCTACTCCCATGCCCTCTGTCTTCCCCTTCTTCCTCCTCTGCTCCTACCCTTCCCCCCCTCACCCCGCTTTACTCCCCTCATCCTCCTCGTCTCCCCCCCTCCCTCCGGCCTTAGGGCCACAGTTTGGAGACCACTGCCATAGCGTGTTTCAGGATAAATTGGATCTAAAGTATTTCTACTTGCTAGAATATAAAAAAATCTAATATGCCAAACTGTAGGTAGCTACTGCCTTTGCAGCCCATCCTTGGGCTTCAATTTGACATACTGTACCTTCCCTATAAAGAATTAGGTAGTTTAATTTTCTCTTGAACCAAATGGCAGCATAGCAGTTATTGGAAGGTAGACTGACATAGAAGCAAAATCACATTATGCACAACAGATAGATTAAAAGGGAACCTTGTGGGGAAGAAACAGGAGCTGTCATTGCAGGCTTTTGAAGGTACAAGCTTCCAAGCTCTGATCTTTTTCTTTCCTTCTTCATTTGGTTAGGTAATGACGTGGAACAAATATGTACTTTTCAATGTACGTAACAAAGCTAGGATATGAATGATAGCCCCTGGAACATGAACCTTTAAAAAAAAAAAAGTCAAAAGTTCTAGCTCTCGTTTAATATTTTCATGGGCCGTGTGATCAATGTAATCATATAACTCCTGTGAAGTTTCTCCCTTGCTTTGTTATTGTGTATTATCAGATTCCATATGTCCAATTTAATGTTTTTATTGCATTTTGTTACCTTTCTGGCAGGGGTGTATCATGAAAACAGTGGGCCTGTGTGCAAGATCAAAAGTAGGCCCTAGGTATTGCCAAAAAGTAAAATGCGGCGTGCTAAGTGAAAAGTGGCTATGCTTTAAATCGCGCTGAATATTGGATGTGGCTTAAAGGGGGTGTGGTTAAATAGTTATCTGAACCTTTTTTGCATACCAAAAAGGATGAATAGTGCATAGAGTGGTTGGATTGACATAGTGGACGAAAATGAGAACTCTGAGATATTACCACCATTAAACAAATTAACAGGATAGGGAGGAGTGTTTCACTTGTGAGTTATAAGCTACCTTGTTTCCCAGATAGAAATGTTGAAGATTGACTCTGTTTTACCCTTCTTATGACTATACTGCACAAGTGCAGATTTAATTCTGTAATTTGACTTTATACAATTATATATCTACTTTCAGATCTATGGTGTTACCTCCCTTGTATACCATTCTATTTACCCATCCCACATGGCAGAAAAATATATTTTAAATATATTTATTTAGTTATAATTTATTTATTTCAGGTACTTATATAGCGCCGTCAATTTACGCAGCACTTTACATATATATTTTACATTCACATCAGTCCCTAACCCTCAAGGGGCGTACAATCTAAGGTCCCTAACTCACATTCATATACAAGGGCCAATTTAGACAGGATTAAATTAACCTACCAGCATGTCTTCGGAGCATGGGAGGAAACCGGAGTACCCGGAGGAAACCCACGCAGGCGCAGCATGCAAACTCCAGGCAGGAGGTGCCGTGGCTGGGATTCGAACCAACGACCCTAGTACTGCCAGGCAGAAGTGCTAACCATTTAGCCACTGTGCTGCCCACATATTTAAAAAATATTCTACCCAAATATATTGACATATATTTGAAATACTACAATGTTGGCCATATTCAGTATATTTGCATCTCTTTCATTTACCATCCTATTCATCCATGTACATCTCTTATATACCATCCTATTCATCCATGTACCTCTCTTATATAACATCCTATTCATCCATGTACATCTCTTATATACCATTCTATTCATCCATGTATCTCTTTTGTTTACCATCCTATTCATCCATGTACCTCTCATATATACCATCTTATTCATGCATGTACACCTCTTATATACCATCCTATTCATCCATGTACCTCTCTTTATATACCATCCTGTTCATCCATGTACCTCTCTTTATATACCATCCTATTCATCCATGTACCTCTCTTATATACCATCCTATTCATCCATGTACCTCTCTTTATATACCACCCTATTCATCCATGTACCTCTCTTATATACCAATCTATTCATCCATGTGCCTCTCATATATACCATCCTATTCACCCATGTACCTCTCTTATAAATCATCTTATTCATCCATGTTCCTCTCTTATATACCATCCTATTCATCCATGTACCTCTCTTATATACCATCCTATTCATCCATGTTCCTCTTTTATATACCATCCTATTCATCCATGTTCCTCTCTTATATACCATCCTATTCATCCATGTACCTCTCATATATACCATCCTATTCATCCATGTACCTCTCTTATTTACCATCCTATTCATCCTCGTACCCCTCTTATTTACCATCCTATTCATCCATGTACCTCTCTTATTTACCATCCTATTCATCCATGTACCTCTTTTATATACCATCCCGTATACTCAATATACCTCTCATATACCATATTGTATCAGTATCATTGACCATCAGTGTCAGTGTTATTTACTCCTTTATGCTGCATCATGAAGGGATAAAGAAATACTGCCAGTGGCCATTAATGCAGCACAAAGGGTTAATTAACTGCCAATGGTCACTAATGCATCAGTGCCTAGTGGCAGGAGCAGCACATTAACCCCTGAGTGTTGCACATTTCTAATGGAATTAATTAACTCCCCCACTCCAGGTCACTGTAAAAGCTTAGCAAAACAGTACACTGTTGCTATATCAGCAAGTCATTTTTAGGGCAATCTGCCAGCCTGCTTCCTTTGTTTTTTGCTCACTTGCATCCACGCTCCCTCATGGCACCGGCGACTTTCTAAACCTCTCCTGCTTTCCAACCTCTGAATGACCTGACGTCAGAGGCCAGGTCTAGAAGTCCTCTGTTGGGTGGAGATCCCTCCGTCTGAGAGAGAAGTGTATATATGCCTTCTGCCGAGTTAAAATGATGTCATTGCCAGCCCCTTCATGGAAGCCAAAACTGCCTCCACAGACCTCGCAGCTCCAGCAACAGGATCTGTGTGTAACTGTGAGTCAAGTCACACACAGATCTTCTGTGACAGGAGCGGGTGCCGGGAGGTAACAGTGGGTTGGCCCCAGAGAGTGACAGCGGGCAGCCCAGAGAATGACAGCAGGCAGCCCGAGAGTGACATTGGGCAGGCAGTAACAGGAGCTAGTATGCCAGCAGTGACAGCTGCACTTCAGTGTCTCAGACTTGTTTCATCCATGGGTGCAGTGTGGGTCAGAGCACAGTGGTGAACCTCCCCCTTGGAGCCCATTTGCAGTGAACACCCTGAACCCATGGATGATATGACACTGCCCTCTAGTATTTCCGGTCTTTTATGGCTGTTATTTGCTCTTTCCTCAAGTACCTTTACAATCCTATTTTTTTATTAACAGTTTGGATTATTGCTTTGAGTAAATGTTTAATAGCTGTTCCAACCCTTATTTTCAAGTGGAATCATAAAATTCAGCTCTTATTTTTATAATCTCTGTAGTAAAAATTTCAGTTGCATTTGTTAAAATTATTTTCTTCCACCAGTGATAATCCTTGTTGCAGGTTTGGGCATCAGTTTGTCTGAGCAAGGTTTTCTCATAATCAGGAAACCTCCACTCAGTGTACTGGACCAGTAGTAAGAGATAAATACACAGGCTGTACCAAATGAAATGCAAAAGTGGGCATCATTTTTTTATTAACTCACATAGAGAAAGGCAATATCTTGTCATTGGTGACTCTTGTCAATGATATAATCTCCATAAATATTCTGTAGCCTTCTGTGGACATCAGACAGCCTGCACTCCTCTTTCGTCAAGAGCTCCATGACGGAATGTTGCTTCTTTGGAATTCCATATATACCTGCAATGAAAAAGAAGAAGAGTAACTATAGAGGAAAAGTCACTCTAACAACTTATGAAATTTGAACGACCTACTGTAAGTTAATCGAAACGTTATGCCCACATTTGCATGACTTTCTGGACAGCCCTCATAGTATATGTAGGTAGTAGTGACAAATAGTACATTGTATCTAGATTATTAGAATGTGTGCATAGAGTGATCACAGGATTTTTCCTTCTCTTGCTCTCCTAGGGGACAGCTGTCTATCTGGAAGTAATTCAACGTAATTTCCCTGCAGCTCTGGAAAAGGTGGCCAAGTTCACATTTTCTTTGAATGACAATCACTCTGAAGCTGGGATTCCGATTATTCCTTATCCTTCTGTCTGTTTCTTCAGCCTCCTGGAAAATATTTACTTATCAACAATCCCTCTTCATTATTTTATGTCTCATTATGAGATTCTGTACACCCAGCTGCTTTTTGCACTGAAGGACGTAAATATACGCATCCTTGAAGCCAATTACTCTTGGCTTCTTCGTCATGTCTTCTCCATCTTAGAGGAGTCTTGGGAGTCTCTGATTACAGATATCCAGCAAGGACGCCTTAATCCAGAATTCAAGCTACCTCTGAATATCAGAAAGCAGATAGAAGATGGTCTGGTCCCTGATGCAGTCCGCGCTGAAGACCTACGAGCACAAGTCAAAGAGGGGTTTTGTGGTATTGCCAAGAGAGTGTGGCCAAACCTGCAAGTGGTTATAGCTATGGAATCTGGTGGCAGTGACTTGGATAAACACATACTTAGGGACAATGTATGCCAGGGGGTACCATTTTACTCCCCCTTGTACTTTACAGCAGAAGGTATGGAATGTTTGTATACACCCCACTTTCAAGTATTGCACCTTTTTCTGCTCATGAGGGTAAAAAAAACAGATTCAGTTCAAAACACAAGTTCAATCTGCAAGTGTAATCTTTAAATAGGTTTGACAGTTAGTGCTAGAGTTGAAAATGCAAGGTGCTTTGTTCTGTAGACCTCTAGGCAACATTCTTGCAAGAGAGTGCATAGATACACAGCCCCTTTTAGATTGTAAGCTCTAATGAGCAGAGTCCTCTGATTCCTCCTTTATTGAATTGTATTGTAACTGTACTATTTGCCCTCACGTTGTAAAGTGCTGTTGGTGCAAGTGTTGGTGCTATATAAATCCTGTATTAATACCCTGGGACCAGATTATTTAGAAACAGAATTGGCTTGTTATTTTAATTAAAATGAAGTATCCCAAGGATCACAAGAAACCGTATGCTTTTCACTCAGGATGCTCCTCCTATGACTATGTAGCACTATCCCCTAGAGAACTGGTTTTGAGTCCCCCTTTATTTCCTGCACAGCCAAGCAACATGCATTTTCCATCTTCCATTCAGACTCAGTAACCAGTCCATGGGCTTGATTTTGGATAGGGTATAGAGGTATATGGGATGCCCAACTTGACTTGAAACCAATACTCTGTAAATTATGTACAAAAATGTAGGACTGGACTTTCTACTGCCTTCAGAGTGGCATCAGTCTCTTGCCGGATCAGTAACACAGGCTCTGTAAGGAGCACTTGGTCCCCTCTAAGTGAATCTCTTCAAACCCCAGCTAGAAACTGCCATCCACCTTTGAAGAGTATCCCAGAGCAAGTGATTCTATAATAGACTTGTAGCACTGTCCCAGGCAGAGCTGGTTGGGTATAGCACCTAGCAGCCCTCTCTCCTGTAGGCCCCGGGGGGTGTAGCGATACTCACACTGTCCTTGTGCCCTGTAGCTTTGGATAAACTGCTGTCAGGCTTTTTGCTGGACTGGTTTGCTTCCAGGCTAAAAGTCTGTCCTTCCTCAGTGGACTGCAGGGCAGTGGAGCTCCCTCTGTCAGCTTCCTTCTCTCATCTTTCCAACCTCCAGTCTGGAGGCAGAACCCCCCCCCCCCCCCTCCGGGCTCCCTTCCCAGGCTACACAGCAGCACACCTTAGTACTCTCCGTTTTCCGCACGACTCCCCTGCTGGTCAGGCTCTATCATATTTATGGGCCTGTCTGCCACACTGCCAGGCCCCCTGACCCAGATTGGTCAGAATCCCATGAATATGCAGATCAGCACCTTCTGGCCTCCACACACTAGCTTCTCCAAGCTTCTAGTACCAGGGGGTGGTACCAGAGGCCTGACATGTGGAGCCCTCCAGCCTGGCCTAGAGTAAACTCACTGACACCCAGGCTTCTATAACTACATCTCCATTACTGATACTGTTTGATCATATATCTACTGGCCAACATACATTGGTTAGTTATTAACAAAGTGGCTTTAAATTGAGAAGCTGTCCCTGTATAGGCACCTATGAACTTTGGTTGCCCTTTGATCTTGATTGTGTTCTTCTTCTCAGGTCTTTGTGGAGTGAATTTGTGGCCTGTAGAAGATGTATCCCATTATGCATTGTGCCCCCCCGCTCTGTATTCTTTGAATTTATACCTGTGGATACCAGCGATCAGGAGCAACCACAAACCCTGTGTATTCAAGATGTTTCTGAGGGGAAAGCTTATGAGTTGGTTATAACTAACAGAGATGGACTTTACAGGTGAGCAATGTCTCAGTTTTTTGAAAGGAAGCTTGTCACCTTTAGACGATGGCGCATTAATCTTATGTTGGCTGAGAACACTTGGGCAACATTTTTGCTGGGATTAAAAAGTTGCATGATTATGTAAATTCATAAATGCACGCCTTTATGCTATTAAGTGATTGACATTGATTTTTTACAAAGCAAATTTTTTTTTCAAAAACAAAGGATGCTCATTGTTATCTACAGTGGGAAATATTGCATGGTTTATTGTGCAGCACTGTTCTCATACTGTCATATAAGGTTTTACTCGCTTTGAACAATTTCCAATATTTTAAATACGATGGAACAGGTCTGGGTTTGATTTGTGCATGAATCATGCTCAAAATTCAAAGTTTGCTTAAAGCCTTATTGAAGCTTATAGGGGGAAGGTGGAGACATTTGTAGGGCTAATAAGTAACTGAGTTATGGAAAAAGGCATGGAAAACCAAGGGCAATGCCATGGGGGAAATGTACTAATGCCAATGGGTTTTTTGTTTGTTTTACCGTAATTACAATACATCAGGGAGAGAACCTTTTCACATGGCTTTGGGGGTGATGCTAACAATGCACAATTCCTTTAAATTAAAGGCTTGGGGGATACCATAAAGTTGTACACTTTGTGTTTAATTTTCAGACAGCCTAAGCAAAAGCATTCTCTGGCAGTACTACTCCCTAAGGAGTCGCTGAGTTTTGGGTGCCCCTAAAGCTCTGCACAGCCAGGCAACACACATTTTCTTCCACACTTTTTACATTGGAGTCAGTATCCAGTCTTTGAGTTTGGTTTTGTGATTTTATTAAGGGGTTTAGAACTTGGATGGGGTTGAAGGGTGTATTGGATGCCCAAGGAACTGTAGAAACTTGAGGACAACTCAGAGCAACTATGTACAACGATGTGGACAAAAATAAATAGTCTCTCCACTGAGAGCATTCAAAGCCCTCTAGTGTACCTCTTCAGACCCCAGATGTATCCTCCTCTTCACCCAGCTATATTAAGGGTATTTCCTGGACAAGGGGACCCAGAAGCTGCCAATATAGAACAGTCCCAGATGAGAAGCTAGTTGGCTTTTCCACTCGACTGCCTTCTCCCCTTATCCAGTCCAGGGAGTGTAAGGGTGCTCACACTGTCCTTCCTGTCAGCTTGTTGTGTTGGTGGCTGTCTTCAGGCCTTCCACTGGGCTGGCTTCTTCTCTGCTGCTCAGGATGTCCCTCATAGAAGACAGTGGTGCAGTGGACATGACCTTTTCCAGCACCTACCTGTAGGTAGGCCCCTTCCCTGGGACCCCTCCCAGGCTCCACTCTCCAGCCTTCACTCCATATTCCACCCGATGCTCTCTTGACTCACTCTTGGACTCTGCCATACTTAACAGTTGACTTGGTCACCATGCTCAGCCTCCTGCCAGGGGAATGGCCATGGCCCCTCAAGTATGCTGATCCGAGCCTCCTCCCCTCTTCCATTCCTCCTCCAGAAAGCTCTCAGGTTTCTGGAGGTGGGAGGGCCCCAGAGTTCCTGACCTGCAGAACCTCCCTAGCCTGTCCTAAAGTAACCTCAGGGGTTGATTTACTAAATTTAGACAGTGCAAAATCTAGTGCAGCTCTGCATAGAAACCAATCAGCTCCCATATTTTTTTGTCAGCTAATTGAACAAGCTGAAGTTAGAAGATGATTGGCTACCATGCACAGCTGCACCAGATTTTGTACTCTCCAGTTTTAGTAAATATACAGGGCCGGTGCTAAACTATTTTGTGCCCTATGCAAGACCAGCTACTTGCCCCCCCCAGAAAAAAATAAATAAATACAAATTTTTAAAAACAGTAGAAAAATAATAAATAAAAAAAAAACATGAAATTGCTAAATAAGGGACTGAGTCTGAGAGGAACACTGAAAGGAGTGGCAGCTCAGCTGCTACACTTCCATACACCTTGCATCTTCCTCTGTCCTTTCTTCCTCCCCTCTTCCAACCCTCCCCTCAGCTGGAGGATCATTCATGACATGGCTGTGTCCCACACAGAGAGAGTGCTGGCCTGTGTTGCACCCAGGCGCCCCTAGGTGGTAGTGCTCCCTAGGCGGCTGCCTAGTTTGCCCAGAGGAAGCACTGGCCCTGCCACTATATATACACACAATGTGTGTATATAGTGTGTGTGTGTGTGTGTAGATATATAAACATGAATGAGAGAAAAGAAACATTAAATTAAAGAGAAAAAGACCTGAACAAATCATAACTGGGTGTCGACAGAGCTAGCTAACAACTAAAAGTAGTCCCAAGAAGTATTGTTGGGTTTATAAAACTGTACCGCAGGTTAGGTAGCCCACTACTTTAATCCACAATATGGCAAAGTATTTCTTCCTACATTCTCCAAACAGAATGTTCAGTTCTCCCCAACAGTTTCAACACACGATTGTGAGAGGGCCGGATGATCTAGGCCAGGGGTATTGAATTAAAATTCCCCAAGATCCGGGCAGTAAAATTTGCATGCATCTGAGGTCCGAATCTCATGTAGGCCCCTGTGGTGCAGTTTCGTGTGTGCCAAACCATGTGTTGCTGCGGTGCAATTTTGAAAAAAAAAAAAGGGTTGGGGACATATTCAGGTTTCTAACAGCTAGCGCTGACCTACCCACAACATGTGCACCAAATGCACATGTATGGACCTGAACACATTAGTGTCCTCAATCCCCACTGCACATCACAGTCTCTTCCTCGTTCTCAGCAAGATCCCTCTTGATGAGTGTTCTCAGCTTCCGCTTTACATCACCCCCCTCCACCCCTTTCACAGTAGTATACTCACACTTCCTTGACATCAACCCCCCCCCCCCCCCCCCCCACAGTACTGTCCTCAGCCCCCCCCATGTTACTGTCCTCAGCCCCTATGTTACTGTCCTCAGCCCTCCCACATTACTGTCCTCAGTCCCCCCCACATTACAGTCCTCAGCCCCCATATTACAGTTCTCAGCCCCTCCAACTTTAATGTCCTCAACTCCCACACACCACAGTCTTCAGCCCCCCACATAACTGAGCTCTCCTTAACACTAATATCCTTAGCCCCTTTAACTTTGCCCCCGCCCCACTGTCCTACCTTACACAGACAGTGATTGATTGCTGGGACTGCCCTTCATCCTAGCAACCAATCACCTGCATGTTAACCTCGGGCAGCTCCCACCCTCCATGCAGAACTGTCCTACTTCCACTGTCAGCTCTGTGAGAATGACCGCGAGTCAGCTTGGGGAAGAAAAGGCTTCTAAATGACAGGACTGCATGGGTCCAGATAGGACAGTGACTCCATCCGCATCCGGACCCTGGTCTGCTATTTAGTGATGCCTGATCTAGACTTTCAGACTATTAACTCCTGGGTCTTTGCTGATTATGGGAAGAGGCAAAGTTGTGCATTTTGGGTTGTTCCTATTTTCTAGCTCAAACTTAGTAGCCAATAGGTTGAGATTAGGTCTGAACAAAAATCTCAAGGATCTGCCTTGAAACCAAGACTGAGGTGATCTCATGACCTGGGGTCTTAATACAAAAAAAGAAAAGGAAAACTTTTATTTACCAGCTGAGACTGTACATGACCTTTGCCTGAGAATTAATTTTATAAAAGGCTTCCCTGAGGGAAATACTGATTCTGTCATTGCTACCTTTTGACTTCTGAAAGGCTACAAACAAAATATCATAAATCAGCAATTGGCAAGAAGTCTCTTGATTATACTACAACTTGTAATTAATTGCTTCTTCTCAATAGGCTAAATAACTTCCAGTGACTGCTTGTTACATAGTTACATAGTTAGTCTGGCTGAAAAAAGACAAAAGTCCATCCAGTTCAACCATAAAAAAAAAAGTTATAATCCTACACCCACAGTTGATCCAGAGGAAGATAAAAAACCCAGCAAAGCATGATTCAATTTGCTACTGCAGGGGAAAAATGTCTTCCTGATCTCCCGAGAGGCAATCGGATATTCCCTGTATCAATTTTACCTATAATTGTTAGCACCCAGTTATATTCTGTGTATCTAAGAAAGAATCCAGTCCTTTTTTTTAAAGTAATTGACTGAGCTGGCCAGAACCAACTCTTGAGGGAGTCTATTCCACATTTTCACAGCTCTCACTGTGAAGAGACCTTTCCGAGTTTGAAGATTAAATTTCTTTTTCTCCAGACGTAAAGAGTGCCCCCTTGTCCTCTGTGATGACCTCAGGGTGAATAGCTGCACCGAGTTCGCTATATGAACCACTGATGTATTTATACATGTTGATCAGATCCCCCCTTAATCTCCTCTTCTCAAGAGAGAATAAATTCAGTTCCTCTAATCTTTCCTCCTAGCTGATCTCCTCCATGCCTCTTATCAGTTTGGTTGTCCTTCTCTGCACTTTCTCCAGTTCCCCAATGTTTTTTTTTGTGAATTGGTGCCCAAAATTGAACTGCATATTCCAGATGAGGTTTTACTAATGATTTGTACAGGGGTAATATGATATCTCTCTCTCTGGAGTCTATACCTCTTTTAATACATGAGAGGATTTTGCTCGCTTTAGAAATTGCAGCTTGGCATTGCATGTCATTATTAAGCTTGTGATCTACCAGAACTCCCAGATCCTTCTCCATCATTGATTCCCCCAGTTGTACCCCGCCTAGTATGTATGATGCATGCATATTCTTAGCCCTCAAGTGCATAACCTTACATTTATCAATATTAAACCTCATTTGCCACATAGTTGCCCAATTAAACAGAGAATTGAGGTCGGCTTGTAAGTTGAAGACATCCTGTAAGGACGTTATTCCACTGCACAGCTTGATGTCATCTGCAAAGACTGCAATGGGATTTCTAATCACAGACCCTATATCATTTATAAATATATTAAAAAGTAAGGATTCCAACACTGAACCTTTGGGTACACCACTGATGACCCCAAACCATTCAGAGTATGAATCATTAACCACTACTCTCTGAATACGATCTTTTAGCCAGTTTTCTATCCATTTACATACAGATTTTTCCAAGCCCGTAGACTTTACCTTACAAATTAGCCGTGTGTGGGGAACTGTGTCAAATGCTTTTGAGAAATCCAGGTATACCACGTCCACCACCACCCCTCTGTCCAAGGTTTTGCTCACCTCCTCATAAAAAGAAATCAGATTTGTTTGACAACTTCTGTCTTTCATGAATCCATGCTCTCTGTTGCTTAAAACATTTTTTTCCAGCAAGAACTCATCTATGTAGTCTTTTATTAAACTCTCCAGTATCTTCCCAACTTATAGAAGTTAAACTAACAGGTCTATAATTATTTGGTAAAGATTTTGACCTTTTTTAAATATAGGCACCACATTGGCCTTACGCCAATCCAGCGGTACTAAGCCAGTCATTAAAGAGTCCCTAAAAATGAGAAACAATGGCTTTGAAATGACAGTGCTCAATTCTTTAAGGGCCCGTGGGTGTATGCCATCCGGTCCAGGTGCTTTATTCACCTTTATTGTCTAAATATTTCTGGATCATATGAATTGTGAGCCAATGTGGATCATCTGGGGATGTGTCAATACCATGCCCAATATGAACAAGAGCTCCCCCATGCTCCTTTGTATACACAGAGCTGAAGAAGGTATTTCATAAATTTGCCTTCTTTTTGTACCCAGTCACCCACTCTAGATCATTTTGTAACATGCCTGGACTGGAGCTTTTTACTATTAATATATTTGAATAATTTTTTGGGGTTTGTCCTGCTATCTGTTTCAGTCTGTAGTTCGTTTTCAATTTTTGCGGCCTTTTTTCCTTTTTGCATATTCTGTTATATTCTTTGTAATAACATAAAATAAGTGCAGTGCTAAAAGTAGTGATAATACAGATATAAGTCCACTGAAAGTCTTGGTCATATGTACATGTCCAGTGACAAATGAGGATTCAGAATTGGTGATCCGTGTGGAAACGGCTGAAAAAACGCACTCACCAGAAGTAAGACACATAAACGCAGTGTGCATCTAGAGCTCATGGATCCTCAATCCAGAAGGGGATAAAGCTGGTCCGGTTACAGGAATGGTGGATCCCTCCTCTGTGGATGCAGCAACAGATCCTCCTTTTCCCAATTAGGTGTAGGATTCCAAGATCAAGATTCTGCAAGCAAAAGCTCCTCAGGGGAGTTTTAGGGAAGGACACCCATAGTGTAGTAGGTTATAAAAAGCAGCTTTATTAAAAATTCAAAGTAGGCAGGTATCATAAAGATGTGTCAGCAAGACAAACTAACCCTGACACTCTGAATAATGGCCGCCGGGCCTCCACGTGGCTCCGGCGGCGTAGCGTCTCGACGTCCAGGCTCCTCCTTACGCGTTACGTGCGCACGCACATCTTCAGAGGTATGGAACCATACTGAACCGCACTGCATCCCTGTGCAAATCACGTGCGATTTCTGTGCGATGCAATTTGAGCCATACATTTTGTATGGCTCAAATCGCACCACATCCGCACAAAGTGCAGGACCCTTTTTTAGTCCACATCAGAATCGTATCACATGGGTGTTCACACATCGCACCGCGTTTTGATAAATAATTTCGGGGTGCCATTAAGTTAAAATACAGTGGTTTGTATGAAAGGGGTGCGATTTATGATGTGCGGAAATCTAATGAAAACCGGTGTGAATTCCGCACCGCATCAGTGTGAACCCAGGCTCAAGGTGGAAGTGCTGTGCATGTGGAGCTATAAGTAGACCCCCCTTGAATAGATAAATCTGCAAGGATTTTCAGGTCCCAACAAATACTTAAGATGCTTTGGGTGACATTGGCTTTTTCAACATGTACGCCAGGCATGTCCAAAGTCCAGCCCGCGGGCCATTTACGGCCCGGGGGTCGGTTTAATACGGCCCTCCAACAGCCCTCCCTGCTCTGTGTAATGTGGCCCTCCCTTCTATGGCAGACAGTCTTCTGCTTGAGAGCAGAGGGCAGTGCGCATGCCTGACTGCGGCGCGTTCTCCCTGGTCTGTGTAAATGCGGCTGTCGCACGGCCCTCCCTTCTGTGGCAGACAGTCTTCTGCTTGAGAGCAGAGAGCAGTGCGCATGCGTGACTGCGCCGCGCTGGGAGCGACAGAGGGCGGTGACGTCAGGGCCGGGCTTCCAGCGTGAAGTGTTTTTCTCTTCCCCTCCCGGCTGCCGAGCAGAGACTTCAGCTCCAGCTACCTTTTTCACCCTTCACATTAGTGCAGGTAAGTTTTTTTTTTTTAAATTTGTTTTCAATACATTGTGAAAACTCAGCTGTCAGTTGATCTTAATGTTATGAAATGAAAAGTATGTCGTTTGCAATTAACTTGGCATAAAATAATTTATTTGCATTTAATTGTAATGGTTCAAAGAATGTTCGGAAAAAAATGTTCGGCCCTCCACCATGTTCACTTCATCCAATCTGGCCCTCTTTGAAAAAAGTTTGGACACCCCTGATGTACGCCAAACACTTGTGTCACCAAAAGCAATGTAATTTATAATTGTAACAATTCCAAACCTGTGAAAATGTTTTCATGTTTATTTTTGTCCACACAAACTGACTTGACCTTCTCTTTATGTTACATTGATAATTATAATTTGCACAGACTGATTATTTTTTTTATGTTGACATTGCAATGTGATCATGTAATAATGTCTCACAAATAACAACTTCCAGTTTCTCACAGCCAATTATTATTCTGGCCAATGAAATGAATTAATGTCCAAGGCGCTTGACGCTTGTAAACGCACCTAAACGCTTGTTAAAGCGTTAGACACTGTGACAAGTGTTAGGTGTTTTTTCTGCTAAAATGCTGCTGCCAAGAGGTGGAGCATTGTTAAAACGGCGTAAGGTGCAGTGGTGTAATGAGGGGGGTTGGTATGAAAAGCCCTGAAATTTTTTCAGGCACAGTGCTGATGGGAGTGCTGGCACAGTATTGAAATGAGGTTTTCGGCAGGGGGTGAACTGTGCCATTGCTGAGGAGCTGTCATCTGTAGCTCCAGATTCTGGCAACAGTCTTCCTAGCTAGCAGCACCACAATACGAGGCACATGCACTGCAGTGCAGGTCATTTGTTACCTATCGTAGTTGTTTATTTTGGTGCCATTCTAAATGAATGGCGCCACAAAGAGCACTCTGTGTTAATGTGTGTTGAGCTATTGTGCAGTAAAATGCACAATACCACAACACAAAGGTCTGAAGTGAGCCTAAAGACTAACTATACTGTCATATAACTTAATTCTACTGATTCCCACACTATTCTGACTAAACCTGCTTGCGCTTCTACCTTAGAACAGCCTAAGAATCAGTTTGTGAGCCTACACAATATCTGGTGGCATTCAGTCAGAGAAGCCTCTCTGCAGGCTTACAAGTAGAAAGGTATTTCATTCAAGCCTGTGAAGAAACCAGTACCAGTACAGATGAGGGGGGGGGGGGTCATTGGTAGACCAACTGTGGCAAACATAGGATGAAGCTCTAAGTGATTTTTTGGAACCAGGCGAAATTCAAACAGTGTGTACCTAGTTTAAGACAGTAACTGTGTTACTGAGTGGATCACCAGATGAAAAAAAAGGTACACAAATAAATAAAAAGCAAATGAATGCAGCAACCACATTTAAGGATTGATGAGCTGCAATTTATTATTTTTAGGGGGGTTTAATACAGCTTTAACGTGCCAACTGCCTCTCTTACTGTAGAATCCTTCCAATGCAGCAACCATCATGTAGAAGTCCAACTTCTAATTTTTTTCTTCATTTCTTTTGTTTTCAATATTTTTTTTTAAATCTGTCCAGAAAGTTTACAGAGCTTCTATAAAACCAAAAATGAACCTCTATATTTCAGGTACCGGCTTGGGGACATTGTACAAGTTACTGGATTCCATAATCGCAGTCCTATATTAGAACCCCTTTACAGGTGTGTAATACTGCAATTTTCTTAGTTATCATTAGGGGTTAAAGTATAAGTAAAGGCAAAGGCAAATTTTTTTTTAAAGTTTTGAACAGAGTGGAGAGGGATTAAAACCCTTGTCAGTTGTTATTGCTATCTGTGCCCCTGTTAAGGAGATTCACTCTCTTTATGTGCCCTGTTTACCAATGTTATTGAACGTGAAAGTACATTTTGGGTTGTCCCCAGAACAAAAAAAAATGGGAAATCTTTCAATGGGGAAATTAGTTCTGGTAATCCGGGGGTCCCCAATTGATTCACTTAATTTGCAGGGATTTCCTCTCACTTCCTGTTTGACTCTGGGACAAGAGGTGTAGGGAAATCTCTAAAACGGGACAGACACGTTGGAAAAGAAAATCTGACGTGTTTTAACCCCCCCTTGCTCTATCCAAAATGAAAAATAAAGTTTTACCTATAGTTCTACTTTAATCATAAACCTTCTTTTTCTTTTTGGTTAGTATTGTTAGTAGTATTGTATCTCTACAACTCTGAGTCATGTGAAAAACATTATTTTACAGGAAAAGCCAGACCCTTAATGTACGTGGAGAGCGTATTTCAGAATCTAGTTTCTATAAATCTCTTCTCCAGACTGTAAGAATGTGGCCTGGGGCCTCCCTCCTCAACTACTGCTGTGCAGAAAATACAATTATGGGTATGTAGTCAGTTTTAAAAAAAATTTTGTTAATAATAATATTAATATTGTTAATTCCTGGTAGCCTTTGACATCTGTGTAGATACTTTGGAGTGATGTAGTCATGCAGCATACCCTCCCCTTTCATAGTGGCCAGCAGGGGGGGATCTAATGTAAGCAGGAGAGGGGGTGTAATTTCCCCCGGTGCAGCACCAATAACTCTCTCTGTGCCCCATACTCTAACCCCCAGGCCCCCCCTGTGTGGCCCCCCACTCTGCAGCACTTCTGGCTTCCCCCCTCTATTCTCCTGCTCTCTGCTGCTGCTTTCAGGATGGAGGAGTGGGGAAGTGACCAGTAAATATGTCCTATTTACTGACCCCTTCCTTTTGTGAACAAACACAGTGAATGATCGATATCAATCCCTCACTGTATTTACATACCTCCCAACTGTCCCGGATTGGGCAGGACTTTCCCGCATTTTCACCTTTGTCCCACGGTCCCAGTGTACAGAGGCTTTATCCCGCATTACTCTATCTATTCTTTATATGCTGACTTCCAGCCAAGCAGGACATGCAGCAGTGTGAACAGTGTGAACATCTAGCACAGCCAGGGATTGGCGGGCAAGCCAGTGGGGCTCGCAGCCACAATGAGTGTGCAGCTGTCAACTCCAGCCTGTGATGTCAGGGATGGGCGGGGCCAATATGCATTTCAGGGGCGCCACCCCCTTTGTCAAGCAAGTATTGCATAGACAAACAACTGGCATTTATATATTGCTGGCCAGGGAAAATGGTGACAAGGGCAGGACCAATTGGAACTTCAGCATGTGCACCCGCAATGGTGTATAATAAACCTGAATTTGGTTAAGTGGGCCCTGCCCCTTGCCACCTTTTTCCCGGTTGGCACTGTATAAATGGTGGTTGTTTCCCTATGATTGTGTTGTTTTTAAAAGGGGGCAGAGCCCCTGAAATGCATATCGACCCAGCCCATCCTCAACATCACAGGTTGGACTTGACAGCTGCACGCTGTCTCTCATTGCAGCCGTACCCCCGTGTTCGCCAGTCCCTGGCTGTGCTACATGTTTACACTGCTGCAGGTCCTTATTGGTTGCACTCTTTTGTTATCCATCTGATGCTGGCATTCTTGCCTCTAAATCCTGCACACTGCATAAAACGCACTTCTGAATCCTGCATTGTTCATGAGACTCACTTCTAAACCTTGTACTCTGTATGTAACGCACTCATGAATCCAGCACTCTGCATGAAACACACTCCTGAAGCTTGCACTCTGTACGTAATGCACTCCTGAATCCAGCACACTACATGAAATGCACTTCTGAACTCTGCAATCTGTATGTAACACACTCCTGAATCCTGCACTCTGCATGAAACGCACTTCTAAACCTTACACTCTGTATGTAACGTACTCCTGAATCCTGCACTCTGCATGAAACACACTCCTGAACCTTGCACTCTGTACGTAATGCATTCCTGAATTCTGCAGTTTGTATGAAATGCACACCTGAATCCTGCCCACTGCATGAAACCCACTTCTGAACCTTGCACTCTGTACGTAATGCACTCCTGAATCCAGTACTCTGTATGAAATGCACACCTGAATCCTGCACTCTGTACGTAATGCATTCCTGAATCCTACGCTTTGTATGAAATGCACACCTGAATCCTGTACTCTGTACGTAATGCTTTCCTGAACCCTACGCTCTGTATGAAATGCACACCTGAATCCTGTACTCTGTACGTAATGCTTTCCTGAACCCTACACTCTGTATGAAATGCACACCTGAATCCTGCACTCTGTACGTAATGCTTTCCTGAACCCTACGCTCTGTATGAAATGCACACCTGAATCCTGTACTCTGTACGTAATGCTTTCCTGAACCCTACACTCTGTATGAAATGCACACCTGAATCCTGCACTCTGTACGTAATGCTTTCCTGAATCCTACACTCTGTATGAAATGCACACCTGAATCCTGCACTCTGTACGTAATGCTTTCCTGAACCCTACACTCTGTATGAAATGCACACCTGAATCCTGCACTCTGTACGTAATGCTTTCCTGAACCCTACACTCTGTATGAAATGCACACCTGAATCCTGCACTCTGTACGTAATGCTTTCCTGAACCCTACGCTCTGTATGAAATGCACACCTGAATCTTGCGCTCTGTACGTAATGCATTCCTGAATCCTTCCACACTTTGTGTAACGCACTCTTCCACAGTTTGTGCAAAACCATTTATTCTTTTTTTTTTAATGATTCTGCTGGGGTTTGTGTCTGTGAGACTCTTGCTTGTGACACAGCAATCCAAGCATATTTTATAGGTACAAAGAATCCTGGGTTTTGTTTAAACACGCCCCTTAAGCTCCTTCCACTGGTAAGCATTTGGCCACACCCATTTTGCACAACGCAGACCACTTCTTCACTTAAGTGTCCCTCATTCTGAAGTTCAAAAGTTGGAAGGTATGTATTCATTTGTAAGTGAAGCGTAGTAGACTGTGTTTATTATGCTTCTGTTTATGAATGAACAGAAACATCTGTGCAGAGCTTTCTGTTCATTCACTGTTCAGTGCAGCTGAGGCTGCAGAGAAGGGATGGCAGAATCTGTTTCAAAAGAGATATCAAGGGTGTGTCTCAAGCCCCTCAACAGCATTCTGAAAAAAAATAAATAAATAAAAAATAATTGCAAAACTGTAAAAATTAATTCAAAATAAATAAATAACTTTTCTAACAAATATGTTTTTTAAATGAAGGGCTCATTCACCGGGTTCTCTGGCCCATAAAGTGTGAATGAGGGGTTTATTTGTGCAGTTGGAGCCGCTTAGTCTATGACGATGCACAGGTGTGCAGGTGTGGGTGAGTGACCCCGAATACACACTGTCTGTTTGAGGCCAGACACCCACATTGACACGTCTGTCAAATTAGGACCTGAGACAGGAGGCGCCCGTCTGAATGTAGTAATAACACTGTATTTAATAGCAAAGGATTAAAAACACTCACAAAGGAAGTAATAAAACAAATCTCATCTGTGTATATGAGAGATGACCATTCCTCAAAACGTCCTGCAGGTGCCACCGGTGGTTGGTGCAATAGCAGCTGGGCTGATGGAGATGGTGAGAGACACTGTAGTGGCCAATCCTACAGAATGGTGGTGTTGTGGAGCCGATCCAGTGGTGTTTTTGTGCAGGAAGGAGTCTAGTAACCAGCATGGAACACTCCTCATAGATGTCCAATAGAAGGAGCTAGAGGCTCCGAGTGCATAGCCTGACTTTCCCGCATCTGTGCTCTTCCTCCCCACTGACCCTCTTCCTGTGATGTCACATCCTGCCGGAGTGTTCACTGCATCACTTAGCCAGAAAATGACACAGTTCAGGGGTCAGTAGTGAGTGATACAGAGTTCTGGGGTCAAGAGTAAGTATGCAGAGTTCAGAGGTATGCAGTAAGTGATGCAGAGGTCAGTAGTAAGTGAAGTCAATAGCAAGTGACAGAGAATTTAGGCGTTAGTAGTAAGCAAGACAGAGTTCAGAGGTCAGACTTGGAGCAGAGTTTAGGGGTCAGTAGTAAGTGATGCCGCAGAGTCAGGGGTCTGTAGTAAGTGATGCAGAGGTCAGTACTAATTGATACAGAGTTCAGAGGTCAGTTGTAAGTGACACCAAGTTCTGGAGTAAGCAGTGACTTAGAGTTCAGGGGTCAGTAGTAAGTGACTCAGAGGTCAGTGGTAAGTGATGCAGAGGTCATTAGGAAATGAGGCAGAGTTCTAAGGTCGGTAATGACTCAGGGATCAGTAATAAGTGATGCAGATTTTAGAGGTCAGTAGTAAGTGACACAGAGATGAGGGGTCAGTAGTAAATACATTTCTACCACTAACCATGAACAGGTGCCTCAGCCTGCACAGATAATGTTCTGTACATTCCCTGTTCAACACTGTCGCATTGTATACTATTTAAGTCAGGTCTGACTCTGTGTAACCAAATCTCTCCCCACAACCAACATTCAGCGCAATCAGAAACATGCATATTTATGCCACAGCATGCTGTGTGCACTGCATTTTATCATTCGCAAACCCAATTATAGTCTTGCACATAGGCCCACTGATTTTAGAAAACACCACTGCATTAAAGAGGAACTTCTGACCTGGGGAAAAAAATTAAAATCAGCAGTTACAAATGCTGTAGCTGCTGACTTTTAATAAAAATGCACATACCAGATCAGGGATCCAGTGCTGCCATCACCCAAGCCAGTCTTCGGTGTTCCGGCACTGCCATCTTGCAGCTTCACAACCAGCAACCCACTGCGCATGCATGAGTCACACTGCACGTTCTGAATGGACTTGCAGTCAACTGTTACATGTGATATGTCCCAGAAAAAAAAAACATTCAAATGTGGGAGAGGAGGGGGGAGGAGGAGAAAAAACATAACTTCCCTTTTAAGGTATACAGTCAGGTCAATAAATATTGGGACATCGACACAATTCTAACATTTTTGGCACTATACACCAGCACAATGGATTTGAAATGAAACAAACAAGATTTGCTTTAACTGCAGATTGTCAGCTTTAATTTGAGGGTATTTACATCCAAATCAGGTGAACGGTGTAGGAATTACAACAGTTTGCATATGTGCCTCCCACTTGTTAAGGGACCAAAAGTAATGGGACAATCAGCTTCTCAGCTGTTCCATGGCCAGGTGTGTGTTATTCCCTCATTATCCCAATTACAATGAGCAGATAAAAGGTCCAGAGTTCATTTCAAGTGTGCTATTTGCATTTGGAATCTGTTGCTGTCAACTCTCAAGATGAGATCCAAAGAGCTGTCACTATCAGTGAAGCAAGCCATCATTAGGCTGAAAAAAACAAAACAAACCCATCAGAGAGATAGCAAAAACATTAAGCATGGCCAAAACAACTGTTTGGAACATTCTTAAAAAGAAGGAACGCACCGGTGAGCTCAGCAACACCAAAAGACCCGGAAGACCACGGAAAACAACTGTGGTGGATAACCGAAGAATTCTTTACCTGCTGAAGAAAACACCCTTCACAACAGTTGGCCAGATCAAGAACACTCTCCAGGAGGTAGGTGTATGTGTGTCAAAGTCAACAATCAAGAGAAGACTTCACCAGAGTGAATACAGAGGGTTCACCACAAGATGGAAACCATTGGTGAGCCTCAAAAACAGGAAGGCCAGATTAGAGTTTGCCAAACGACATCTAAAAAAGCCTTCACAGTTCTGGAACAACATCCTATGGACAGATGAGACCAAGATCAACTTGTACCAGAGTGATGGGAAGAGAAGAGTATGGAGAAGGAAAGGAACTGCTCATGATCCTAAGCATACCACCTCATCAGTGAAGCATGGTGGTGGTAGTGTCATGGCGTGGGCATGTATGGCTGCCAATGGAACTGGTTCTCTTGTATTTATTGATGATGTGACTGCTGACAAAAGCAGCAGGATGAATTCTGAAGTGTTTCGGGCAATATTATCTGCTCATATTCAGCCAAATGCTTCACAACTCATTGGACGCCGCTTCACAGTGCAGATGGACAATGACCCAAAGAATACTGCAAAAGCAACCAAATAATTTTTTAAGGGAAAGAAGTGGAATGTTATGCAATGGCCAAGTCAATCACCTAACCTGAATCCGATTGAGCATGCATTTCACTTGCTGAAGACAAAACTGAAGGGAAAATGCCCCAAGAACAAGCAGGAACGGAAGACAGTTGCAGTAGAGGCCTGGCAGAGCATCTCCAGGGATGAAACCCAGCGTCTGGTGATGTCTATGCGTTCCAGACTTCAGGCTGTAATTGACTGCAAAGGATTTGCAACCAAGTATTAAAAAGTGAAAGTTTGATTTATGATTATTATTCTGTCCCATTACTTTTGGTCCCTTAACAAGTGGGAGGCACATATGCAAGCTGTTGTAATTCCTACACCGTTCACCTGATTTGGATGTAAATACCCTCAAATTAAAGCTGATAGTCTGCAATTAAAGCACATCTTGTTCGTTTCATTTCAAATCCATTGTGGTGGTGTATAGAGCCAAAAATGTTAGAATTGTGTTGATGTCCCAATATTTATGGACCTGACTGTAGTTCCGCTTTAAATATTTCAATAGTGATGTAATGCAAGGAAGGAAAGAAAGTCATTAACCTTGTGTAAGCTCATCATAGATAAAATAAATGCTTACACTCAATAATGAATTATATGTAATCCTATGTTCTTACAGATTGTAAAGTGATATTTTCTTTTCAGGTCAATTCTCCGGGGGCTCTGACCCTCACTATAAGGTGTTTGTTGCCCTAAAAGGTGTGCGAGACCTTTCTGAGGAGCAGAGATATAAGGTGAGCACAGCCAGTGATGACTCTAATATATAATCATTTGCACTTATTCCTAAATGCGTGGGCACAAGCTCAAACTGTTACATGGTTCAGAATTCCTAACATCATCACTTTGTATGTTCTGTGACTTCAGTAAAGTGTGTATAGTTATAAAGTACAGCATAAATTGACCAGGGTTTTCACATCATGATTTTGGCAATAAAAGCCCAACTGAAGCTTCTGTTTAAATTGACTTTCCATGCATTCTAGGTGCATCAAAACAAAAGGTGTGCAATGTCTTACATTTCATTTTCTTTAGCAAGCAGCCACTCACTGAATATGAAAGCCTGACCCCTGCAAGTAGCTGCTGAGTGAGACCTTGCCTGCATTTTTTGCACTGTGAACACCATCAACCAACAGGTCACCCAAGGGACAGTTTTTTTGTATGTCAAAACTCAGTGATACTTTACCAACCACCAGATGAACCTCATAAACACTACTTCAATGCATTGCACCCAAAGCAGCAAACGCAGACACACTAGGGTTGTTTTACTAAATGTAAATAGACTGTGCACTTTGCAAGTGCAGTTGCTCCAGAGCTTTAAGGACAGAACCGACAAGGACTGGATGGTAGGGTGTTAATTTGAGCGGGTTTTTTTATTTTAGGAGGGCAGATTTGTTTAGGGTGATGTCCTGCAGAGATTTGGTTTTACACCGCAGTCATCCAAGAGAACAGCTATGTCTCTTGAGATATCTGATGTCAGTTTGCCAAGGTTTGCCATACTTCTTCTGTATGTAGTGAGAGGAGCAAGTGCATCCAGTGTGGATGAGGGTGAGGTATCGTAGACAGAAGTGGCCAAGTCAGAGCAGAACAAGGTGACATTTTGTCATAGAGGTGGTCAGCAGTGGAGTACAGAAATGGGAAATGTTTGTATGAGTAATCGTATGCAGCTTGGTGGTGTAGGCAGTTGAAGACATGGAAATTGCAAAAGTGATGAGGTTGTGATCAGAGAAGAAAGGGGTGCCAGGAGTGCAGAGATGGGAGAATATCAGGTCAAGGGTGGTACCATCAGAGTGAGTGAAAGTGTGTGTATATATTGTTAGGCCAAAAAATGAAGTGAAGTTGAGATATAGCCAGGCTTTTAACATTATCATGGATGTTAAAGTCACCAAGAAGTTTAGTCTATCATTAAAAATGTTCTAATAGATACCAAGTCAATAATAGAACTGTTGTCCTCTGTAAAAGACATTACAAACTTGGATTTTCTTTTTTTCATTTTTTTTTTTTATTCATTTTGATTATTTCATTAGTGTAAACAAGAACAAGCATTGCTGCCATTAGTAAATGTTTACATATTGACAATGTGCAATGCATCATGTTTACAGTCAGTGTTATATAGGCACTCATAAGTGTGGGAATACAGCTGTTATGATTAAGGTTATGGTTTTCTTGTTGGATGTTGAAATAAGCTTAGCGCAGTGTTTGTCCTGGCAAAATATAGATTTAGTTTTTTTTCTGTGATGGGAAAGAAATAAAGACAGTGTGTGTAAAAGTAGGAGAAGACAAAAAAAAGGGAAAATATGGAGGAATGGTGGTAGGGCCAAGACTATAGGGGCACAAGGTAAGGTTGGAGGGAAGGATAGGTTTGGTGTAGGATAACTATGTACAGATAAAACCTATATTTGTTAGAAGGGTAGAAGAGGTCTGTCTCTGCTTCTAGACAAATAAATTATCGCCAAGGAGATTAGAAACTAAGAAATTAAAGTAGTTATAAAGGCTTAAGGCTTTTTACCTTTGTGCTTTCTATGTATGAAGGTAAAAAAAACTTGTGTGCACTGCCATCAATCACAGCCAGTGAGGAGGGAGCAGATGGCAGGGACGAGCCTTGCTCTTTGTCTCATAGACACACAGAGGCTGCTTGGGAGCAAGCACAAAATCAGCTTGCTCTGGGGGCACTCAGCAGGAGGGAAGGGCTAGGAGTGCCGGCGGGGGACTCAAGAAAAGGAGGATCTGGGCTGCTCCTGTGCAAAACCATTACACAGAGCAGATAAGTATGACATATATATATTTTTTTAAACATGAACCCTTAGTATCACTGTTAGTATCATTTTCTTGTTCTTTATTGGGTGAACTAGATGGACTTTTTTTCAGCCAAACTAAATAAGTATGTAACTTTGTGACTATGTTTATATTTTTATTGTTACTTTGGGATCACAAAACATACTGATATATTTGGGATCATAAAACATACTGATATATTTGGGATCATAAACCATACTGGTATATTTGGATATAAAACATACTGATATATTTGGGATCATAAAACATACTGATATATTTGGGATCATAAAACATACTGGTATATTTGGGATCATAAACCATACTGGTAAAGATCATAAAACATGGTATATTTGGGATCATAAAACATACTGGTATATTTGAGATCATAAAACATACTGGTATATTTGGGATCATAAAACATACTGGTATATTTGGGATCATAAAACATACTGGTATATTTGGGATCATAAAACATACTGGTATATTTGAGATCATAAAACATACTGGTATATTTGGGATCATAAAACATACTGGTATATTTGGGATCATTACTGGGATCGGGATCAAAACATACTGGTATATTTGGGATCATAAAACATACTAATATATTTGGGATCATAAAAAAACATATTTGGATCATAAAACATACTGGTATATTTGGGATCATAAAACATACTAATATATTTGGGATCATAAAACATACTGTATATTTGGGATCATAAAACATACTGGTATATTTGGGATCATAAAAAACATTTACTAAAACATACTAATATATTTGGGATCATAAAACATACTGGTATATTTGGGATCATAAAACATACTGGTATATTTGGGATCATAAAACACACTGGTATATTTGGGATCATAAAACATACTGGTATATCAATAGGAGTAGCATCAAGTAGCCAAGCCATTTAAAACTGTTTGTTCTCTTTCTACAGTGTTCTCTTTAATTCCAGCCAAAAGTTTCACCGTAAGATTATTTCAGAAAGCCTGATGGTGTTTTTAAAAATGAAAATAAATGGTGCAGCGCTAACTTCAAAAGTGAATAAAAATGAATAAAAATGAATGTGTATCCATATATTAATAAAGTGCTAATGAGTCAAAAAAACAAAAATATGCATATAGCAATAAAGTGCTAATAAGAACCGTGATAACACAAAAGTGGAAAATACTAGTGTACGGGTCACCTTAGTGACTTAAAAATCGTGATGAACACACAAAATATATAATGAAATAAACTGGTGTTAAGTGTCCTTGGTAATAATCAAAAAACCTTTTGAAGCAAGTACTAATAAGTCCATAAAGTAGCAAGTGGTGATAAAATGAGATAAAAAACCATGCAATGTGTTAAATGTGAACACTTCGTGTAAGTGCCGGCACACTTTAAATCCACTCCAGCTGCAGTGCCTCCTCGCCTCCTTCCTGTGACCCAAAAGGGCCCAACAAGCATTCAGGATCACTCTGGATCCTTTATATCTCCGGCTAATAACTCTCCAGAAAGCCAAGGATCATAAGTGGTGTCCTGTTCAGCCTCCAAATGCTTCCTCCTCTGCCTTTTATAAGGGTACTCTGTAGGGTATATTACTCACAATCCTAGTGAGTAATAAAAAGATCCTCCATAGTGTAGTATTATTAATAATGCAGTCTTTTTATTTAAACATAAGAAGTACACTCACATGAACATGCAGTCCCTTCCTCCTGCTGTATGTGGGTATGCTGCATCCATGTGGTACTTACTGGGTGTACTAAGATGGCGTCCTCCACTGGAAGTGCGTCACTCTTACTGGAAGCTGCGTATCGGCGTTACGTACGCATTACGTCACGTGGTCTCGTGACTTCCCCGGGGTATTGTCAAGGAGACGCAGCTGCTCCTTTTATATTGGCATTGGCGCATATCCCTCCTCCCAAGCTGATAACAAAACCACGGCCATTTTCTAGAAGCCTAAAAATGTAGATAAAGCGCATACCTGGCTCCCAGGCTAATAATTAGCCGCGGCCATTGTATAGAAGCCAAAACAGTATTGTATATGTATATGCTCATAATAAACTAGCCTCTAAACCCAGGAAAAAAACATTTAGATCCAGCCAAAAACCCCAAACCAGTCTGGATCCATAATGAATAAATAAACTATACTCACTAAAAAATACCTTTATTATTTAACCGACTCTAAATAAAATGAACTAATATCTATTTCAAAAGGGAATTTTTATTTTATTTATATATATTTTATTTATTTTTTAATTTTTTGTATTTTTTGTTTTTATAGAGGTGTTCTGAGAGTATTTTTTATATCGTTATGGGTATACATATATATTTATTTTTACGTATATACAGTGGGGCAAAAAAGTATTTAGTCAGCCACCAATTGTGCAAGTTCTCCCACTTAAAAAGATGAGAGGCCTGTAATTGGCATCATAGGTAGACCTCAACTATGAGAGACAAAATGAGAAAAAAAATCCAGACAATCACATTGGCTGATTTGGAAAGAATTTATTTGCAAAATATGGTGGAAAATAAGTATTTGGTCACCTACAAACAAGCAAGATTTTTGGCTCCCACAGACCTGTACCTTCTTCTTTAAGAGGCTCCTCTGTCCTGCACTCATTACCTGTATCAATGGCACCTGTTTGAACCTGTTACCAGTATAAAAGACACCTGTCCACAACCTCAAACAGTCACACTCTAATTATTAGCCTGGGAGGCCAGGTATGCGCTTTATCTACATTTTTAGGCTTCTAGAAAATGGCCGCGGTTTTGTTATCAGCTTGGGAGGCGGGATATGCGCCAATGCCAATATAAAAGGAGCAGCTGCGTCTCCTTGGCGATACCCGAGGAAGTCACGAGACCACATGACGTAACACGTAGGTAACGCCGATACGCAGCTTCCGGTACGAGTGACGCACTCCCGGTGGAGGACGTCATCTTAGTACACCCAGTACACCCAGGAAGTATCACATAGATGCAGCATACCCACATACAGCAGGAGGAAGGGACTGCATG